GGGGGAGGAGGAGGAGGAGGAGGAGGGAGGGATCTCCGAAAGCTGACGTCTGTGCAGTGCGTGGTTCCTCCGAGGCTGCTCCCCGTCCTCCGCGACCACGCCGACGTGGGCTACCTCAACAACTGCAAGTACGGCCTGCACGGCCCCATCGAGGTGCTGTCCCTGCGCCGTTTTGCGCCAAGTCCGGCGTTGAAGCAGCTTTGCGCAAAATTGTTAAGAGCAGTTTTGCGCCCAGACCGGCGTTGAGACTGAAAGCTGTTTTGGCTGAAGGGCTCGCGCGTGTGGAGTGCGCGTGCCGTGCGATGCATCACAGCACATCTATTCGCACGTTAGTGAAGTGGTATTACGGCTGCTGGTGCGTCACGTCAAGCCAAGTCACGTCAAATAAGCCTTGCACCGGCCGGTGCGTGAGCAAAGTGAAACATGAAACAGGCGGGCCGCCGGTCACACTAAGGTGACGCAGAGGAGGAGGAGGAGGAGGAGGAGGAGGAGGAGGAGGAGGAGGAGGAGGAGGAGGAGGAGGAGGGGGAGGAGGATGAGGAGGAGGAAGAGGAGGAGAGGGAAGGGAGGAGGAGGATGAGGAGGAGGAGGAGGCTGAGGAAAGAGGAGGGGAGGAGAGAATGAGGAGGGAAGGAGGAGGAGGAGGAGGAGGTAGAGAGTGACGGAGGAGAGGGGAGGCGGAGCGACAGGAGGAGGAGGAGGAGGAGGAGGAGGAGGAGGGGGGGGGGAAAGCTAGCACCAGACGGTATGGTAAGAGGAAAAAATCGAACAAAACATCGAGGTGCTGTCGCTGCGGGCCATGGCGGCGCTCGCGGCGGACTACGCCCTCAGCGAGGCCGGCGACGAGCCGGCCCGGTGCCTCGAGGCCATGCCGGAGGCGTCGGGGGGCGGCAAAGAGGGGGGAGATGACTAGGGGGGGGTGGATATCATGGCGGGGGCCATGATTTCTGCCCAGAGTTTATGGCGCCTCTTCTTGTTTCACTACGTCCCTGGCCCCCCCGCTGGGCCGCGCACATGCCGCCGGTCATGATTTGCCCCCCCCCCCCCCCCCTCTCGGACACCCCCTCTTGGCCGCTCCCGAGAGGCGGTCGAGGGCCCAGCGCAGTGGGGCGAGGACATGTTCCTGGACAAGTGCCTAAGCGAGGTCCGGGTCGACCCACAAGGGGGTCCAGCCGCCCAGCCACAAGGGGGGCCTGCCCCTCTACGGGGGGAGTATTCAAAATAGTAAAAGTTTGACTATTTTGAGCACTTTGGGGGTATCTTTAAAATTTTTCGTCCAAAATCCGCCTGTAGGGGGACACTACGTCCCTGGCCCCCCCGCTGGGCCGCGCACATGCCGCCGGTCATGATTTGCCCCCCCCCCCCCCCCCTCTCGGACACCCCCTCTTGGCCGCTCCCGAGAGGCGGTCGAGGGCCCAGCGCAGTGGGGCGAGGACATGTTCCTGGACAAGTGCCTAAGCGAGGTCCGGGTCGACCCACAAGGGGGTCCAGCCGCCCAGCCACAAGGGGGGCCTGCCCCTCTACGGGGGGAGTATTCAAAATAGTAAAAGTTTGACTATTTTGAGCACTTTGGGGGTATCTTTAAAATTTTTCGTCCAAAATCCGCCTGTAGGGGGACACGCCCGACCTAAGACAAGGGGGTGGTGCAATAGATTTGGTGCAATACATTTGTGGGGTTGCAATACCTCTGGGGCGTGCACTACATTCCAGAACGCAGGTGTATTGCTGGCTTTTCGCGTGCAACGCATTACTTGCAATGCAACGCAGTACAATCCTCCAGCGCAATACATTTGCAATACGATTGCCCCGAATCTAGTGCACCACCCCCTTGCAGCTGGACCCCGTTTTGGGTCGCCCTTCAGAGGTGCTCGGCGTGGACTCCGTAATTGACACCCGGCTGATGTGCGAAGCACACTGCGACTGTCCGAATTGGTACTGGTGCGGAAACGGCACCGACCGGGTCATCTCTCGAAGGGGAACGGCGCCCGGCATGCGCAGAGCCCGTCGGAGGTCCACGCGCCTCTCTTGGGTCTGCGCTGGCCCCCCCCTGGCGGCGCCTCCGGCGCCGCCCTGGTCGCGCTCTCCGGGCGCCGGAGGGGCGGGGTTCCGCGCCGACCCAGGATGTTCGCGCGAATCTCCGAAAGCGAACGCTTGCGCCGCTTTTCCTCTTCTGGTAAGTCTTCCACCCCTTCAAGATGCCAGACATGCTCCGCCAGTGCCTGGCCAACACGCTGGAGTCCAGCGGGTTGGCCCGCCAGTGAGCCAGCCGCGCAGCAAAGTGCGCGGAGAGCGGTGTGGGCGGCGACGTTTGCTCGCCAAGGCAAAAAGTCCGGTAGTTTCGGTAGTCTCTGGGTCGGAGGTTGATAGGACCCCCACCATGCCAAATCGATTGGCGAAGTGCATTTCTCGGTTCGTGGGACGGTGTTGTTGGCTCACCCTGTGTGGGTCTGGTCCGTGGTCGTGTGCATTACATGTTTTTTGTTGCTAGAAGGGGTTTCTGTCCCCCCCCGACTGATTTGATGTGGGGGTCAAGACCCACATTCACATTTGGGCATCGGTACACAGCGCCACTGACGGTGTGTCGTCTGCGAAGAGGGCCTCAATAGCAATAATGCATTTGTTTGTTTTGGCGTTTTCCCTGGAATCGGCGTGGAGGTTCACAAGCGTTTTCCTAAGGGGTGCCGTGGATGATTCATTAAGTCAGCAACAACGCAGCCTAAGCAAATAAGCGTGATGTCCCTGAGCTTGCTCCATCGAGCGTGCAGCCAAATATGTGTGAAACTGAAAGGCGAAGGAAGGGCCAGCTAGACTAGGATGAGCGGAGACGCAGGAGGGGAAGATAAAGAAGAGCAGTGGATTGAGCACAACAGCGAGGCCAGGGTGAGTGGACAAATGGCTTGTGTGTGCATCCCCTGTGGTCCGACCGACCACTTATAGGAGAAGGCCTCGCACAACGGCAGTCAAAATAATAGCCTATAGAGCACATAGCAAAAGTGAAACACCATGCAGCGCCGCGGACGAACGGAAGCCTGCCCAGATTCCCATCACGCCATCAGAGAGAGAGAGAGAGAGAGAGCGAGGGAGAGAAGGAAGAAGAGGGAAGAACACCTGGCGGGCAAGGAGAGGCAAGACGTGTCAGCCGACCAGCTGGCACAACCCAGACCCACGACCTCAGGATTCGTGCCATAGCGTCGGCCTGGCGAGGAGACCTCGACCCGTTCCCCAGCACCGGCTTTTCATCCTGCGCCGTTTTCGACGGCCCCGAGGCCCGGCGAGGGCCCCCCCGAGGCCCCATGGAGGGACAAGCAGCCCGCCGTGCTCTCTCCACGACGCGAGAGGGCCTGGGCCAGGCGACCCGCCCGGCACGGGGCCGGCATCGGCGCAGGCACCCGCCACGATCCGAGCTGCCGGCGCAGGCCGTGGTGTGCGTGGAGCTGCGGCGCCGTCGCGCCCTCCGCGGCCTCGGGGCGGCGGGGGCCCCGCTGCGGCGAGGGGGCGAGCCGAGCCCGCGAGGCTGGCCGGGTACGCGCGCCCGAGCGGGCCGTCGCGCCGTCGCTCCCTTCGCGGCCTCGGGGCGGCGGGGGGGCCCGCTGCGGCGAGGGGGCGAGCCGAGGCCGCGGGGCGAGCCGGCCGCGCCCACGAGCGGGCCGTCGGAGTGGGGCGCGAAGTACTGGGGGAAGGTGTCCTGCTCTTCCCCCTCCTCCCCCTCCTCTTCCTCCTCGTCCGCCTCCTCCTCCTCCTCCTCCTCCTCCTCCTCCTCCTCCTCCTCCTCCTCCTCCTCCTCCTCCTCCTCCTCCTCCCTCCTCCTCCTCCTCCCCCTCCCCTCCTCCTCCTCTCCTCCTCCTCCTGCTCCTCCTCTTCTTCCTCCTCCTCCTCCTGCTCCTCCTCTTCCTCCTCCTCCTCCTCCTCCTCCTCCTCCTCCTCCTCCTCCTCCTCCGGGGGGGGGGGAGAAAGGAAGCTCCCAGCAGCACTCGAGGCCAACGGGGCCCGGGAAGGGACAGCCCGCAGCGGGCCAAGGTGCCAAACCAAGGGGGGGGGCACTGCCGAAAAAACCCACTCAATCAGACGCATTGGGCGGGTTCCTTTGGCGTCCGCCCAGCCGAAATGGCGGAGCACCCGCTGGGGAAGGCCAAGGCGAGCCAGGGAGACCGCCTTTGGGAGGCGCGTGCCCGCAGCCAGCGCGTCGCGTGGAGACAAGTAAAAGAGAGGAGAGAAATAGAAAAAGAGAGAGAGAGAGAGGGAAAGGGAACCAACAAAAACCAACGCACAATGAACGCCGCCATGGGTGCGCGTACGGAGTGTCCCGCTTCGCCTCAACCAGTTGCAACCGACACTGGGCAGGTTTGGGGAAGGACAGCAACAAACAAAAACGACTCGACCAGGTAGGTGTCAGAACAGCCTCTCAGATAAGAGGAAGAACGGCCCCTCTGGCAAGTGGGAGAACGATCTCCAGGGAAGCGGGAGCGCTCTCGGGGAAAGCTACGTGGTAGAGCGGCACATGTTCGCTGATTGGCAGAGCGGTGCGGCGATCCTACGTCATAGAGTGGAGGCCCCTGCCAAGAAGCACGCTGCCTGCCTCCAGGGTGCCCTGGGCTCCTTGGGCCTCGATGCTCTCTGGCTGCGGAGAGAGCGCGACGCCCCCCCGCGCCAGAAGCCCATGCACGTCCCGGGGGTTCTCAGGGTGGGGCTTCTGGAGGAGGAGGAGGAGGAGGCGGAGGAGGAGGAGGAGGAGGAGGAGGAGGAGGAGGAGGAGGAGGAGGAGGCCGAGCCCCCTGGCGTACGGACAAGGACCGCTGCTCCGCGCGTCGCGCCGCCAGCGCAGGGCCCGCCGCGCGAACCGTGCCTTCCCCGGCAACCCCGCCCCGCGCAGCGCAGCGGCGCGCTGTCGGCCTGCAGCGCACGGCGCGCGGCCGGGGCCGCCGCCGCGACACGCCGAGCGACCCCTCCCGGCCGTAGCTTGAGCACTCCAGATTTCGTAACAAGAGGGAGGGGGTCTGGACCCTCCAAGACAAGCCCATTTCAGACCTCCCCCGTGGGAGAGCCCTCCAACACATCGTCCCCAGACCCCCCAGGCCCTCCGAGATGGCCTGGAAGAGACCCCCCCCCCGAAATGTGACCCCCCCTCCCTTTATCACGAAATCTGGATCAGCGCAGAAACGTAGGTTTGACTTCTCGGCCCCTGGCCAGCGCGTGCGCTCACGTTGCCCCGAGCAGTGTTTCCGTACGTGCCCAGCTTGGCTCGAGGGTCGGCCCATCATTGCCGAAGGAAGGCATTCGTTCGCACGCGGGGGATGGTTGCTCGCCCGCCTTTCGTCGCCAAGGGCGCAGTGCCGATCGGAACCGTTGCGTCGTTGTGTGCGGTTGCTGTCCTCCAGGCTGGTCTTGCCGTGAGGTTCGCCCTGTCCCTGCGGGATTACGAGACGGATCCAGAGGTCCGTCGGAGGACGGAGCTTGAGCTGGCCCATCTTGGACGCGACCTCTCCAACACACGCCCCACGGAGACGGATTTCGGGCGAGTCGCCAAGTTAGGGGTCGCCGTCGGTGGATTAGGAGCACTGGTTCTCTGGCGAGTGCGGCTGAGGATGCGAAAGGTTGCCAAACTCACCAAAGGGCTACCATCATAGCACGTGGATCTTCCGGACATGACGCCGACGCCCTTGTGCATGAGGCCACTTGTTGTCGAACGGCCTGGGCTCCACGCAGCATCGTGATCTAGGGTCGCTTCGCGTCAGAACTCCCCGCTGTGCGACGCAGAAAAGCGGGGTCGTCCTCACCGACATTGGCGCGCAAGCT